CGGTCAGATACATTACCTTTCACCTTGACACCAGTGGTAACCATTTCCACACACTGTGCTTGGTCTTTTTTTTTTTTTCCAGATATATTTATTTAAGCATATAGAACTGGGGTACAGACCAGAGGTGCAGGGGTGGTGAAAGGATACAGCAGAGGCAGAGCGGTGAGCAGGACAGGCAGATTGACGAAGTCCATTGCTGAGGGGAGCAGCGGGCGGGTCAGGAAATGTCTGCTATGCCATGTGGGTCAGCTCCCTGGTGGGGTGTGGAACTGGTGCTGAAGAGGCTGAGGCTAGATTCATAGTGCTGTGCGTCAACCTGTTCCACCACCTCGGAGGGCCCTCATGGTCTTCTTAAGGAATTTAGTTTTCCCTTGAAGGATCCACCTTGACTCCTGAAGACTCCAGACTCAAGTGAGTTCCCACACCCACACTCAGGACTCCTTGAGCTGTTCAGGTAGCTGCTAAACTCTCTTCCATGCACAATAAAGACATTGTACTCAGGTTCTACACTTACATGTTGGGATTTAATGATTTTGCAGTTGCTGCAGCTTTTATTGCATCTTCCAGTAACTGTGAGTACTGACTGCCTTTGTCTTTCTTGATCTAAAGAGGAAATAACATATAGATGGGACAAGCCATTGTAAACTAGACCAGGTTGACATTTTTGCAGAGGGTTGACTGTGACAATATGTTCTTTGCCAAGTGTGCAGAAGTAGGTCATGGACACGGTCATTTCTTTGTTAAGCCAATGGCCGTGGCCACCATTTCTCGTTGTTCTAATTTTTTAAAAAGGTTTATTTATGCAAACAAGAACTGGGGTGCAGGCCAAAGGGGGGGGAGGGGGGAGGGGATAATTTTAATGATATTTAAAAATGTCATTGAGTGGCCTCCCAGGTAGGGCAAGGGGATAAGTCTCAGCGCTGCTTTCTTCCTTCCTCTAAATAAACTTCACTTCCTCAAAGTTTGTTCTGTCTGCTTACTTGTCTAATGTCTATGAATTCCTTTTTACAGTTTCGTGGAATAAGAAGCTGTGGTGGTTCAAGGGCCGGATTAACAGCGCACACGGCGTCAGTACCAGTGGGCTCAGGAATGAGTCCAGCCGGAGGCTACTGAGGCGTGCAAGTGGGGAGATGTGGCAGGCAGCTGGACACCTGGGTTTGGCGTGTCGGAGAAATATCTGGTCGAGGTTAAATAGCCAACAGTGCAAGAAAGATTGCTACGTTGTGAGTGGGTGAAACGACCCATGGAGAATGCACTGAGTGAGAAAGTAGGCAAAGGTAAAAAATCAAAGCCTCTGCTTCAAAGAACCTAGCTCGGTGCAGGGCTGGGCGCAGGATGCCTGCACAGGTCTCTGCGCGCCCGGCGCGCGCGCTCGGTCAAACGAACGAAGCCGCAAGGATCCCAGTCAGTCCAGAGCCCGGGACGCCCGCACCCCGGCCCCGCCGCACTCGGAGCCCAGCAGCCCAACAAGCTGTGTCCTCGCCTCCGCGGACTGTCACCGCGGAAATCACCGCTCACACCCGGGGGCAGCCGCAGAGTCTGCGCCGCCTGAGCCCTCCTCC